TCTCTCCCCAGAAGCAAACCCTCAGAAAACCAACGGCTCATTCAATGTAAAGGGAATCCCCACAGGACAATGGACAAAACAGGCTCTTCAGCCTTTAAACGTGTGTCCCTCGTCCCAGGACTGATCAAGCCAGACCCTTCTAGAAAGATTCTAGTACTGACTATACACTACCTTCAGGCTCTGCTTCTCAGTCCCAGGGAGACCTGGATCCCACGCTGCCAACCTCCTTCCTCACCGACAAGTTCTTCCTCCTGTTGGCACACTGACCCTCCCGCAGCCTGAAGCCAGCAGTCTCTTGATTTGACCTGAGACGCGCTGATTTTCTGGGTTAGCCCTCAGAAGATCCTCTTGTTTGCTTTGCTTACCAGCGCTAGTCCATGGGGGCGCCTCTCTCTCCTAGCTTCTGGCCCTGGGCCAGGTCACCTGTCACTTTCTGCACCCTGAGCGTGTATAGTGACTTCGCCACCAAGTCTAGGGTTAGTGGCAAGGCAGGTCTCGGGGAATGAGCTCTCAGTTTGGGCAAAGTCGAGGTGGCGTCCCACCTGTACCACGCACGTAACCCTGGGCAGATTTAACCTCGTCAAGCCTCAGTCCCCTCGTGGGTAATCAGGGCTACTCACCACAGTCTTGTGCATGGGTGTGAGGATTAAATGAGGTGATGCCTAGCAGGTGTCTAGCACGGCACCTGGCTAGCGGTGAGCACTCAGCCCATGTGACCACCACCATTGCTGTCACTTCGAATGCGGCCCAGCAAGGGTAGTTGTTACCTTACACCACGCTTCCCACATCCTACGTGCCCAGCACGTGCTTGCGACCCAGGGAATCGGCACGGAGCGCCTTGTGCACGACTTGTTTCATGCACACGTGCTGGTCTGACCAGTGTGGATTCGAGATCGGAGGGCAGGAAGGAAAGCAGTGTGGTGAGGTGGGGCCTGAGGCCCAGGTGTCAGTCCTGCCCCTGCTGCCTCCCAGCAGCGCCACCCCGGCAGGCTACCTAACACCCGCCTTCCGGGTTCTTCCACTGAAAAATGAGGAGGTGAGAGAGGAAATTGACCCTAATATCTTTTATTTTACCCAAGGTATCCCAAAGCTTTGCGTAGCAATGGGTAATCAAGTAAAAAAAAAAAAATGAAGGGGATATTTTATATTCTTCTCTTGTAATACTAAGTCTTGGAAATCCCGCGTGTATTTTGTACGTACAGCACATCTCAGTTCAGACTAGCCAGACTTCAGGTGGTCAGTAGGCGCAGGTGGGAAGGAGCTACCACCCTGGACGGTGTAGTTGTAAAAATTAAGTGAGTAATGGAGATAAATTGGTCGGCTCCCAAGTGAGTGTGTGGTAACTGTTGGTGTTAGCGCTTTACTTGAAATGGACAGCCCCTGGGCGCTATTTGAATAATTGTGTCAAAGTATTTTTTAATCCTCATTTTTGGACATTTGGGGAATAATATGCAGTCAAACTGCCTGGGCTGGTCCTACCTCTGCCACTTACTAGCTGTGTAGCCATGGGCAAATTACTGAGCCAGGCTGTGCCTCAGTTTACTCCTCTGTAAAGGGGGTCAGAAGAGGACTTCCATCACAGGGCAGTTGAGGGGATGAGATGAGGTCGATGAAGCGTTTAGAAGACCGTCTACCACACGACAACATAATGGGAGGTGTGATGGTTCCATGTTTGTTTTAAAAAATCGGAGGATAGAGGAAAGTTGGAGGAAAAAATGGATCCATTGACACCATGGAGTCTTTTCCGCCCAAACGACCACAGCTGACATTCTTCTTCAGTGGTTTCTTAATAAAACATGGGGCCCCACCTAGTTCCGCTCTGGGTGAGATATAAAGTGCATCTCCCATCCCCCCCAACTCCCCACTTCACTCTCCTCTTCTGCCCTTGAAATCTCTGCCCCCAGAAGCCAAGTGCAGATCAAAGAACATTCCCACGAACGTGAAGAAAAAAGCAAGGAAACAGACTTAATGCTTCAAGGCAACACTTCTCCGGTGTGCTGTCCAGTGACAGTCTTACGGGTGAGCAGTACGACAGCTTGTTTCCACCAAACGTCAGTGGAGACGGAACTGTTGATTTGGTCGTAGCCCCGCACGGTGGCTGTGTGTGTCTGAGATGGGGCACCACCACCTGTGACAGGCCCAGGGCCCTCTCTCACCACGCTGGACAGCCCGAGTGCACCTGGGTGACCCGAATATGAACAGAGAACATGTGTCCCTGATCACAACCCCTCCTGCTGGGCCTGAGGCTCCCACCAAGGGCTCCAGCCGCTCTCACACGTGAGAGTGTGCTTATGAGAATCAGCCAGTAAAATTGCTAAAATGCGGGTTCGACTGGGTTGACCCTGAAAGTCCAATTGAATAGCTCTGGGGACACCCAGGAATCTGCACTTTTATACATGCGGCAGAGGATCCGGATGCTGGTGGTCTGCAGCCCAATCTCTGAGAAATCCTGTAATGTGAGGATGATAATTCTCTTTGCAGCTCACTGGCATCTACAGACACTAAGACCGAGCTAGATTCAGTGATAGCGACAACCACAATGAGGGAGCGGGAAAGGGGGAAGCGGCCCCATCCCTCTCCCTGAGTGTGTCACCCACAGTCCCCTCCTTCGAGGCCCAATGTCTGCCTTCAACCCCAGCACAGATGGCACCATTCACTGTTTTTAAAATGCTATGCCTTGGGGTGCCTGGGTGGCTCAGTCAGTTCAACGTCCAACTCTTGGTTTCGGCTCAGGTCATGATCCCGGGATCCTGAAATGGGGCCCCGCGTGGAGCTCTGCGCTGGGCATGGAGCCTGCTTAAGATTCTCTTTCTCTCTCCCTCTGCCCCTCCCATCTCCTGTCTCTTTCTCTCCCCTCTCTAAAAACATAAAATGAAAATTAAAAAATAAAATGGCGTGACTAACACATTACATTCCAATGATAATGGAAAGAAATATTGTATCTGGAGTCAAATCTTGACTTTGCAACTTAATTAGCCGCGTGACTCCAGGCAAGTGTCTTCCCTCTTTGAGTCTCAATTTACTCATGTATGAAGCAGACACAATGAAGCCATTATCTCTGGGGATTGCTATGGCTATGACATCCGATCATGTACGTGAACAAACTTAGAGCAACACCTCCTGCATCGTAGATGCTCCTTTTATTTATTCAACAACTATTTATTGGGTACCAATATGTACCAGGCTCTGGGCCAGCTTTGGGGGCACAAAGATGACCTGGGGGAGACACCTTTGTGCAAGGTGTCCTCCAAGCGCTGGGTGAGGCAGGGAATGGCTCCACTATGAGACAGAAGAGAAACTAAAGGTAATTTGCTATGCATCCACAGGTTGGGGAGTGGCCCATTGAGACCCAGTTGTCCCCTCTCTGGGGTTGGCCACGGAAGGGACATGGTCATAACCCTCAGCCGCAGTCCCAACTAAAGCTAGTCTTCAGCAAAACTCAAATCTGCTAAGCGAGCCTGGGGATGAGAGAGCCTGGTCAGGGTGCAAACTCTTGCCTTAATGCACAGCAAAGACCCTTAGTATGTTTTCGTGCTAATCATTCCAGTTCTTGAAATTTCCTCTAAGGAAATGATCTTAAAAGGAGGAAAACTTTACACATGAAAATGATACACCGGGCGCCTGGGTGGCTCAGTCATTGGGCATCTGCCTTCGGCTCGGGTCATGGTCCCGGGGTCCTGGGATCGAGCCCCACATCGGGCTCTCTGCTCAGTGGGGAGCCTGCTTCTTCCTCTCCCACCCCTCCTGCTTGTGTTCCCTCTCTCACTGTCTCTCTCTGTCAAATAAATAAATAAAATCTTAAAAAAAAAGAAAATGATACACCAATTCCCAGAAAAGTTATTTAACCATTCTATGCCTCCACTTCCTGCCCATAAAGTGAGGATAATGATAGTTTTCACATCATAGTTTTGCTGAGAAATTAAGCAGGATAATTAGTGAAAAAAACATTAACACAATGCTCAGCACTTAGTGTTAGCTATTAATGTCAGCTATCATTTGATAATATGGAAAATACATATATATCATATCATGTAGGATATACATATGTATCATATATCCATACAATTATGTACAATGTATCATATGCATCTCACATATGCATGGATACATACATATACACATATATATATAATCATATACAAACAGGTATCATATATATATATATATATACACACACACACACGGGATATAATATGAACTAAAAAGCCAAATACAAATTATATATATGGTACAAATAAAACCATGTGTATTTTTTTAAAAATAGCTCCTGCTAGCAGTGCCCACCAGCAGCTCCGCTCATTTGCAGAGCCAGGAAAGACAGTGGCGCAGTCTGACCAGGAGACTTGACCAGGTACAGGTCTGCCTGATTTGGAACCTCCAAGAGCCTTGTGGGCCCTGGAACCGGGTCTGCCGCTGCACCTGTCAGCAAAGCTGACTCACAGTTCTGCCCACTGCCGAAGACAGCCTGCAAGAAACCCAGTCAGAGCTCCTGGGGATCTCAGCAGTTTGCCCTACAGCCCGATCACAGTGGCACTGGGGTGGAGAACTGGCCGGGGGTTCGCTCCATCCGCAGAGCAAAACCAGTGGCCCCATCTGGCAAGGGAACTCAGTGCACAGTCTTCCTGTTTGGCTTCCTAAGCAACAAGCCATCCAGGTCTTGGGTCCATTCTGCCCCGCGGCCGGGACAGAGCAGCTCATTCGCAGCCCCAGCTGCTGCTGAGTACGGGGCCCAATACCACCTGGCTAGGAAGCCTGACCAGAGAACCCACACAACCACACAGCCCATCCTACAGCCTCGCACGGGCAGGGACCCAAACCAGTAGTCCTACGCATCTGTTCTCAGCCAGGAGCACCACCCCCCATTGGAATTTATTTGATGTTTTCTTCACGGCTCTGCTGGGATTATAGGTTTGGGGTTGGGGGGGAGGGAGGAAGACCACAGAGGTTAAGTGCTATTCTCATCACTCAAATCAAGAGTAGGTGTTACCAGTATGACTCACCGTTGTTGATAGTGACTTTGATCACCTGGCTGAGGTAGTGTTTGCCAGGTTTCTCCTCTGTGACGTTATTCCTTCTCGTCCTTTCCAGACTGTCCCTTTTGGAAGGAGGTCATTAGGTGCGGCCCACACTTACGGGGTGGGGAGGGATGCTCACCCTTCAGCAAGGGTGAAGTGTTACATAAATGATTTGGAAATCTTCTCCACAGGAGATTCATCTCTTCTCCTGGTTGGGATTTCTCACATTTTCTTCAGTGTCTAATCATTGTTATCAGCCAGAGGGTAACTCCCACACAAGCTATTTCACCACGACCTGAACTGGATCTTCCCATATCTAACATTTTTTGGACACTTATTATGTACCATGCACTATGCTGGGCATCTTTTGCGTATTCTATTTCACTTCATCCCTGCAATACCCGTATGCAATGAATACTATTCTACCCACTTCACAGATAAAGAAACAGAGACGCAGAGAGTTTCTCTACTTGGGAACCCTATTGTATTCCTGTGTATGCTTTGCACACCATACCCTAAAAATTGGAGTGAATTTCCATACATTCTTTGCCCACCCAGGTTCTGGGCTGCTAGATGAGTCCTGGTCTGAATCCTCTCCTTCACACATCGCTCAGCCTCTCTCTGAGGTGACCTATCCAGTCTCTCTCTCTCTCTTTTTTTTGGGGGGGATCTTTTTTATTTTATTATGTTATGTTAATCACCATACATCACATCATTAGTTTTTGATGTAGTGTTCCATGATTCATTGTTTGCGTATAACACCCAGTGCTCCACGCAGAACGTGCCCTCCTTAGTACCCAGACCTATCCTCTCTTCCCTGCTAGACCTGGTTATGTAAGTAACTGGGCGTTCACGTCAGCTTGCCCCAGAGCCCACCCACCCTAAAATCCAGTCCCATGATCTCTCATGGTTGCCTGAGCTCTGGAGCACAGATGGCAAGACCCTGACCAGGAGAGCTAAGCCCCAGGTCATGAGGGGTCATAGTCCAACACCGCTGCTCACATGGAAAGTTCCCTCCCTGACAAAGGACAAAAACAACACCTCACACCCTATGAAGACCTGAGAGATCTAGAAGACTGTTTGTTTCACACTCTGAACAAAATCCCCCACCCAGATGTTAAAAGGCGAGAGAGCAGGGAAGGAGTTGAACATGTAGAGGCCACTATGGTTGGAAAAGAAACCAAACAAGACTTCTGGGCGGTTAACCCACCCGCTGCCATGACAGCTCCTGGAGGAGCGCATCACTCAATGGCAGATTCGGCCAGTTTGGGAGAGTTCAACCACTCAGTGCTCAAGATTTTACTTCTCCTCACCCCCCACCCCTAGGTCTCAAATTGGGCACCACACAATAGGGTAAAAACAGGACTTAGGGGCAGAATCTTTTTTTTAAGATTTCATTTATTTATTTGAGGGGGGGTGAGAGAGAGAGAGCACAAGGGGCAGAGGGAGGAGAAGCAGGCTCCCCACTGAGCAGGGAGCCCCACATGGGACTCGATCCCAGGACCCTAGGATCATGACCTGAGCCAAAGACGGTTAACCACCTGAGCCACCCAGGCGCCCCAGGACATGGGGGCAGAATCTCATCCAGTTTTTACAGAAGCCCTTGAAGGATGGAGAGACAGGAATTTATATCCTCACTTTACCATAGGAATTGAGACTTAGAGATGGAAAGTGATTCGCCAAACATGGTATAGTGAGTTGGCAAGTTATCTGACCCCACCTTGGGCTTTTCCACATATTGGTTTGATGGACGAGACCAGGGTCACTGCCATTAGCAAAAATCAAGTAGAGGCAGCAGCTAATAGTGCCTGGTAAAGATGTGGGTGAAAATTGTTGGTTAAAACAGTACACAGAGTTGGGGATCATTCAGGAAGACTAGAATGCCTAGTGTTCATCAGGGAAGGCTCTCCGTAGACAGTGTTGGTTATTCTGCAGGAGGGTAGAGGAGGCAGACAGAAGGCCAAATGGGTCCACACTCCCAGGACATGGATCTCCTCTGTCTAACTGCCATCGCCTGGAGCTCTGGGCCTAGTGTGGGGCCCCATGGAAGAGCCACTTGGTGGCATGTGCCTGAAACCCATTCGGATCAAGCACTACAGACAGCAGAACTGGAGTTGGAGTCCCAGGAGGGAAATCCAGAAACCTCAGTGGTCGGCTTCCAGGCAGACAGGTGTCTGAGGGTTGGGGGCACTTGGCCTACCACCTAGCACAGAGCCACATGAAATGTTTCTTGATTTGAGTTAGGTGCTCCTGAAAGGGACGGAGGCAGAGAGGGTCATTCTCCCAAGATCACATAGCCTATAAGTGGCAGACGTGAGATTCAACCCAGGCCCACAGAGTATTCAGCACTTAAGCCTCAGGGGCTCATCCTCTCTACCCTACAGTCTCTTGCCCCAAGGATCACAAAATAATGTCATTTTCTCATCCTATTCCCCGTAACTTCTGACACAATGTCGGCCACACAGTAGGCTTGACCAGAGCTTAAAGGTCTGCCCTAACCCTGAGCTCAGGGGGTTTCCTCGCTAAACTACATGCCACACTGGGCAGGAAATGCAAGGACGGGGCCTGCAAGGGAAGCGGTGAGGAAGGGCGCCTGGATGCTGAGCAATGGCCATGGGCTGGAATTGGGGTAAAAGGTGGGGAGATGGCACATATGCTCTTCAGCCACATACATCCACATGGCTCATTCCCCACCTCCTTCGGGTCCTCGTTCAAATTGCCGAACCTACCAGATGAGGCCTTCCCTGACCCCCCTATTTAACTGCAACACGTGGATGGCTCAATCGGTTAAGCATCTGCCTCGGCTCAGGTCATGGTCCCAGGGTCCTGGGATCGAGCCCCACGTCGGGCTCCCTGCTCAGGGGGGAGCCTGCTTCTTCCTCTCCCACTCCCCCTGCTTGTGCTCTCTCTCTCTCTCTCTCTCTCTCTCTCTCTCTGTCAAATAAATAAATAAATCTTTAAATAAAAAATAAATTGCAACACATTACCCCATTCCGTCTACCCTTTCCTTACTTAATTTTTCCCCATAGCATTTACCACCATCTAACAGACTATATATGTATCTAACTTATTACTTATTCACATGTCTCCTCCCAGCAGCATGAACCCTCTATGCGGCAGGAGTTTTGGCTACTTTGCCTAAAACGAAGCCTGGTACATAGTAGGCAGTCAGTAACTATTTGCCTAATGAATAAACATTCTCAGAGGGCCTTTCTCCGGGGGGAAAGGGAGCTGGGAGCTGGATGAGAAAGCCTTTGCTTTGGAAGCCGTCAGCCCAGCCCCCTCTTCCATAGGTCTCAGGGCCAAACACAGACCCCATCGGGGCCTTTCTTAGCATTCCTATTCATTTTCCTACCCAGGGAGCCAAGAGGCACCGCAGAATCATCACGGACCCCACCCTGGATGCTTCGGGTTCCAGGTCTCCCACAGGGTCCTCAGCTGCACCCAGACTCCTGCCAGCATCCTCCACCCTAGCTCTTTGCCTGGAAGCCCTCCAAGGGGCCTGTATAGCTGGAATTGTCCCACCTGCTTCCTTCTGTCTGTGGCTGGTTGGGGGTGAGGGGAGGAACATGGCATAGCAGAGTCAGACCCAGGCCACACCGTTTGCTGAGTAACCTTGGGAAAATCAGATAACCTGAGACTCGGTTTCCTCCTCCATCAAATGGGAAAGACTAGCAGCATACTACCCAGCACAGTCATGAATGCCAGATATCCTTTCCTCCTTCCTTTACAGCTAAACATCTTCCAAGGCAAACACAGTATCTTTTCCATCTTTGTATCCCGGTGCTTAACACAGTGGCTGACACATAGCAAGTACTCAATGGATGTTAGCAGATTTGAGCTACTGACCCAAGAGGGAGAAGGGACGTGAGGAAGATGTGGCAATTATGGACTCTGTCTCATCCAAGTGGGACATCAGCAGAGCTGAGTTACTGACCTCGGCTTTCAAGTTGTTTTTTTTAAAGATTTTATTTATTTGACAGAGAGAGAGAGAACACAAGCAGGCAGAGCGGCAGGCAGAGGGAGAGGGAGAAGCAGGCTCCCCGCTGAGGAAGGAGTCCTATGCAGGGCTCAATCCCAGGCACCTGGGATCACGACCCGGGCCAAAGGCACTTAACCGACTGAGCCACCCAGGTGCCCCTGACTTAGGCTTTAATATGCGGTGACCAGAATTGGCCCAGGGAGGAGAAGGGGAAAGAATGAAGTCCTGAGCTCAAGAACACGGTGCAACAGAAAGAGACTACTGGATTAAGAGCCAGAAGAAGTCTCTCATTAGGTGTTTGGACAGGGAGCATCTCCTGGGACCAGTGGGTAGGCAAGCATCCAGTACTCGCATGGAAACCCTTCTGTCAATTTATAAATGTGGACACAAGTAGTGAGCACTGTTAAGACTGTCATGAACCTCAGAGCATTTGTTTACCTCAGCTTTCTAAATAGGCTTAGAATTTCTATGAACTTGCAACATTAAACGTGAGTCACCCATTTGGAACTTCATACTGTGCATCAAAGTGTCGATAAAAATGGCATCTATTTTTGAACATCTGTTACTTAATCAAAGGATTCTTATGTGTTAAAAATTGATTTCCCAAAGCCCTATGAAGTGTAAAAGAAATAACTGCGCCATACACAAGAACTATAAAAAAAGCTGCAGAAGAAATGCCACTTTTCCCCTCATGGGTCCTGAGAATTTTCCAAGTGGGTTCCTTCGGTGTCCTGGGAGCTGGGGCCAGGGCGAGAGGAAAGGGTCGGGTATCGAAGGCAGGGAGGATGCTGGCTGCTGGACACCCAAGAGACCAGCAGGACCTCACGACATCAGTTGCCCACTGTCGGCTTATGAACAATAGTTTGGAAGAAGTTGTAAAGAGCACGAGCTCACTTGTTCTTATGTCCTCAAAGGTCAGATGGCCACAGAATGAATCTGAGGGTGAGGTGTGATTCTGCCATTGTCTAAATGAGCTCTTCCTCTCTGACTTTCATTTTCTCATAAATTATAAGAACTTCAACACCACCCTAGGAATGGAGCTTCCCTCTTCCGTGACCCCCTCCCACACAGCCAGCCGCCGGACACACGTGCACACTCAGCATCCCCAGTTGACCTCCAGTGACTGTTTCTCATACTTGTTGTGAATTCTGTGAAAGGGGAAAGGCCTTGTTTCCTGGGACAGAAGCAGGAGGACAGATGAATTGACCTCCACACAAGGAGTCCAGGATTCTATGGGGGCATCAGAATCTCGACCTGTGAGGGACAGGGGAACAGGTTTGTGGTTGTGAGCTGGTCCACGTATGCTTGGCCTGGCAGTGAATGAACAGGAGACCCGATCCAAAAAAATAAATAAATAACAAGGGTAGAAATATCCTGCATGTGTATTACACCATGGAGCTGATGGAACGCTTTCTATTTGAGCGGGTCCTTCTGATATTCTATCAGAGTTATTTATTACAGGTTTAAACCCCCTGAAAGTCCATGCACCTGATTAAGGACAGTGACTAATTTTTGTACTCCACAGCGCCTAGCCGAGGGTACTTCACAAACACCTGGCTTACCTTATTCCTATCGGCAACTTGATGAAGAGGTGTCATCCTCATTTCACAGCTAAGAAACCTGAGACCTGAAACCCAGTCACAGATGACAACTGACAACTGGGACTTTGAGCCCCTGGCGTAGGTCTTCCCAGCCAGCACTGGCCGCCCACAGAGCTCAACCTTTCAATACTCGAAACTACAAACTGAGGTTTGCCGGAGGGGTGGTGGGTAGGGGGATGCGTGAAGGAGGGCACTTGCCGTGAGGCGCACCGGGTGTTGTATGGAAGTGATGAATCACTGAATCCTACACCTGAAACTAATATTACACCGTATGCTAACTAACTGGAACTTAAAGAAAAACTTGGAGGAAAAAAAAGGAAAATTAATACTCGAAGCTACCTGTAATGCAAGAGATAACAAGCTGTTTTTACAACACGAAGTAATAATTAAGATTTGTCTTTAGGTGGGAGCCTCCCTCTGTCCTGGGTGGACCCCCTTAGTCATGTCAAAATAAAATAAGTGTGTGTCCTTCATCTTGGGCCAAGCCCTGGACATCCACGCTGCTCCAACTTTGCTGATTCAAGGGAATTAGCTGGGGAGGTTCTTCACCTGGGAACTCAAAATTTCTTCCCCTTTCCTCTAGGCTGATAGGCAAGACACCCTCCCATAGTCTTCATAGTTCCACAAGCTTCGCTGCTGTGGAAGGTCCAGCAAAGAAAGTTGAACTTCAATCTGGAGGCCAGGGTTTGGATTCTGCCATTAACTAGGAAATCTCGCCTCAACTAGTCACCTCCATGCCCTGAGTTTCCTCTTCTATTTAAAATGCAAACCTGGGGGCGCCTGGGTGGCTCAGTCGTTGGGCATCTGCCTTCAGCTCAGGTCATGATCCCAGGGTCCTGGGATCGAGCCCCGCATAATCGGGCTCCCTGCCCGACAGGGGGCCTGCTTCTCCCTCTCCCATTCCCCCTGCTTGTGTTCCCTCTCTCGCTGTGTCTCTCTGTCAAATAAATAAATAAAATCTTAAAAAAATAAAAAAATAAAACGCAAACTTGCCATTTTACTCTCCTGTCCCAAACCCTTCAGGGATGCCTATTGCCCACCCAGTTGAAATTCAAACAACTCCCTCTTCCCGACTGCATCACCATCTAAACCTATGAGAGAGAGGCATTCAGAGAAGGGGGTTCTGTCCCTTCTGAGCTCTTTTATGTTCAGCCAAGAGGGAGTCAGGCCAACAATGAAGGGAGATGGACATTAATTAGGTTCTGTAGACAACAGCCAGAAGGCTCCTCCTGGAGCTGGGGCTGGCCTCTGGTGGCCCCCTCACCTTCCACCTATAGCTCTCCTTGATCCAATGACTGCCAAGTGTCCTCAGGCAGTCTCCTTCTCTCTGTCTCCTTCTTGGGGTCAGTTCTGTCTAGGGCTCTTTCCCTGTTATGTGTAGCTCTGACACAGTGATCACAAGGCCTGGAACTTCCCCAATCACCAGTTCGGGGACAGAAACTACAAGTGTGCCTGTTACCACAATTGAGCATGGACTTCCTACCCTCCCAGAAATCCACCCTACCCGCCCCGGGGGGGGGGGGGGGGGCGGTGCCTGTTTAGAAGCATCATCCTGAGGACCAAGATGAAGTAAAGTGAAAATGAGACAATGCAACCATCCGGAGTTCAAAATTTGCCCTAAAAATTTCCCAGTATGGCCATGGGGACAAAGCTGTCTACCCAGCTCCGCCCACAGGTTCCCTGGGGTTCACCACATTCCCTCCACCCACAACACTCAGCCCTGAGCTGTTTCTCCCTGCCCCCCGCCGCCCCCCACCCAGTTCACTACACATTTGTCTTTTCCAAGAGCTCTTCCAAGATGAGAAAGGGCATTGTTTATATGGTAGTGAAAGCATGGGTTCTGGAGTCAGGGATCTGGACTGTAATCTTAGCTCTGCCACTCACCCAGTGAGTGACGCCGACAAGTGACTTACTTAATCCCTGACCTCACCGCTCCATCTGTAAAACACTGGTAACAAAGCCAATCTCATGGGGGTAGTAATAAGGATTAAATGAGACAATGTTGGGACACCTGGGTGGCTCAGTCAGTTGAGTGCCTGCCTTCGGCTCAGGTCATGATCTCAGGGTCCTGGGATGGAGCCCCACATTGGGCTCCCTGCTCAGCGGGGGGCCTGCTTCTCCCTCTCCCTCTGCTGCTCCCCCTGCTTGTACTGTCTCTCTCTCTCTCTCTCTCTGACAAATAAATAAATACATAGAATCTTAAAAAAAAGAGTGAGGGAGAGAGAGAGACAATGTTGGCACCTTCATCGGGATACCTAACATTAGCTGGTATAACAAAACTTCCCAAATCTCAGTAACTAGATACAACAAGAGTTCACTCCTCTCTCAAGTCACAGGCTCACACAGATTGGGTGTCTTTACTGAATAGCTGCCCTCCAAGAGATGATTCGGGGACCCAGGCTCCTTCCATCCCCTTGGAGTCCTCCCCTGGACCCCCGCCACCTGGCTCACAGCATAACAAAGACAGAGTTAGAGGCCAGGCCAGAAAGTAGCACCCATCAATTCAACTTTACATCGGTTAAAACCCAGTCACACATTCCACCTAACTGCAAGGGAAGCAGGAAATATAGCTGTTACGAATACCAGAAATCATAGAACCATAGTGTGGACTTTTTAGAACACGGAGAATACATTACTGAATACAAACCACAGTAAACATACGAATTTCTTTTTTAAAAAAGGTATCATAATCATATGTTGGACATAATTCCAGTTCTGAGTGCTTTCTATGAAGCAGCAAGCTACATGAGGACAGCCTATATTCAAACTCAGGCTCTGCCTGAAAAAAACGTTAATCTATGTTAGCCATTGTGATGTTCTTATCTTAAACCAGGAAGGCTGATTTATGCACTTAAGAAGGTTTTTCAAAAGTGCCATGTTCCCCAATCTCTAAGTATATACTTCTGTCTGGAACCCCCTTCCTCTCCACTCATCACCCCACTACCTCCCACTCATCCCTATCAGCTTGGATGTCACCTCCTCCAAGAAGTCTTCTCTATCGTCTACCCCCGTTGGGGTCGAGTGCCTGTTTCCTGTGTCCCCACGCTAGTGTGTACTTCCCTTCCCAGCACACTTCTCACAGCTTATTAAAATCTCTCTTTACTTTCTGTCTCTAGCTAAATTGTAAGTTTCTTGGGGGAAGGGACCTTGTTCTGGACACCATTTTATCCTCAGCTTTAACACAGTATCTGGCCCAAACAGAGTGTACAGACAATGTTTGTCACATGAGTGAATTAAGAAATCTGACCCTCGGGGCGCTTGGGTGGCTCAGTCGTTAAGCATCTGCCTTCGGCTCAGGTCATGATCCCAGGGTCCTGGGATCGAGCCCCGCATCGGGCTCCCTGCTCTGTGGGAAGCCTGCTTCTCCCTCTCCCACTCCCTCTGCTTGTGTTCCTGCTCTCACTCTCTCTCTCTCTGTCAAATAAATAAATAAAATCTTAAAAAAGAAAGAAAGAAATCTGACCCTCCTTCAAAACGGCAATGAGGTAAGACTTTTAAACTCTTATAGCCCAACAACAAAAAAAAGAAAGTAAAGCGTAAAGGCAAGTTCAGCAAGAAACTGCACAGTGTCCTCCTCCTTCAAAAGGTCAGTAGGAACTGAGAAGTCATCTCAAAAGGTGGCCCCACCCCTTGGGTCATGCCTGGATACCTCTGAGCAATTGGCCACACTCTTATAATCTTTCAGTTGAGCAACAGAGAGTGCAGAAAACATTCTCACACATTACAAACCCTGGAACTCTTTCTCCCAGCTGATCGGAGGGTGTGGCAACAAGAGCTGTCCCCTTAAGGGGGGCTCCGACTGACCCTGTGTCCTGTTGGGCCTGCGTATACCACTCTCCACTATCCACGGAGCTGGGGCATTCCCTGACCTTCACTCATCATCATCAAAAAGTGTGGTCTTCCTAGTCCTAAAGTAGACCCTTCGACCCCCAATAGGACCCCCTCCTCAATACTCGCACATACTCTGAAGCAGGTGTCACGGTGCAACCAGAGTGAAGTGGACACAGCGTGTCTCCCATGCTCCCACATCTTCGGTGCACCTGTAGTGAAATCTCGGATGAGTCAAGTGATATTGGAGCGTGAGTAACCGATGATACGCTACCCAGTTCTCTAAGAATGCTATTACCCAGCGGGGGCAGGGGGGGTGGGGAATAGCTCTAAACGTGAGATTTCAGGCAAGTGAGGGAAGCCAAAAGGAGCTGAGGGAGGTTGTGGGCACCCTTCCAAAACTATTAAGTCAGAGATGGGACTGCCTATTCTACCGTTGGTTTGGCTCAGAGCCCCACACCGAGGTACTAGGGCAACACCAAGCGTCACACACGTGACCTAGCATTGTTCCCTGAGCGCCTGGGACAATCTCCTTCCCCAACTCCGAGCTAGCGGCGGGCCTTGGCCACAGCTCCAATCCCAACCCTATTCGTCGGGCAAAACCAGCTCTGATACCCGCACACCACCTTCTGCACCACCGCCACCCCACCTGCCCAGGCCTCTTTGACGCGATCACAGCGTGGGTGCCTTGGAAGCCGGGAGGGGTTGGTCAGAACCCCGCCCCCGGCCCGTGACGGCCCGGCGCCCACCGGGCCCCTGCATCCTCCCCATTCTCGGGGTGGGGTGGCCAGCGCTCGGCAGTGGGCGCTCGGCCCCGCACCCGTATGCGGACGCTCGGCCTCGGGGGCGGGGCTTCTCAGGGCCCCGCCCCCTTGACGTCAGCCCTTGCGGGGCGTGGGCGGGACTGCCCGCCATCCCCGGCTTTCAGAGGCAGACCCGCCGAGCCGCGGCTGGAGGCGCGCAACCTCGCTCCTGCTCCGGCTTCGGCTCCCGCTCCGGCTCCCGCCCCGGAGGATGCGGCGTGCCTAGGATGCTGCCGCGCCTGGTAGTGCTGCTGGAGGTGCTCCTCAGCCTGCGCCTCGGCTCCTGCGCGCGCGGTAAGGATCGCAGCCCGGCCCTGCCCTGCCCTCTCCGCGCCCGCCCGGCGGGGCTGGATGCGCGTCCACACCCGACTCGCGCTCTTCGTCGCCCCTACGTTAAAGTTGTGCGTTCCACGGAGAACCCCGTCTGGCTGTCCCTCTGGGGAGGGGGGCGTCCATTGTCTACCCCATCCCAGAAGCTCCCTCATTCCGGCAAGCCTGGATCTCAGGCTCCCCATTGTGGAAGTTGGAAGAGCATGAAATTGATGGGGGGGGGGGTGGATAGAGAAGTTCAGTGACACCCACCCACGCACCCCCACTTTATCTTCTCTCCACCTCCAAGCGAATCAGAAACTTAGTCCTGGCCTTTTTTTGTTGTTCTAGTTCAACTGGTAAGAATGCTTTCCCCTCTGGGGAATGACTTTGATCCCCCATCTGACTCCACCTTCCCCTTAGCCCTCCCCTTAACCTACTTCTTCCCCATGCCATTCCCGCCCCCACCCCAGGTCTTGTCCCCTACTATCACCTGTTGCTCCATCTGATCATTCCTGCTCCTTCTTTAGCCCCTAATGTGCTCCGACTGCCATCTGCCTCCCTCTCCCTCCTCCTACCCCTTAGCTCAGTCTTCTAACCCAGTCAGCTGTCCTGGAAAGTTTCTGCAAGAGAGAAGAATAAAGCCTGGAGAGAGAATGCCAGGGCAGGGAGGTGGAGGCACGGAGAGTGGAGCCAGGGAGAGCAGGGCCTGAAACTGCGTCTACACCAAAACACAAAGTAAAACCTGCAGTCAGCCATTCACATGATCGAGAACTGAGTTGGGGATATGCAGCCCCAACACCGCAAAGACCCGCTGCGTTTCTCACTTTCCGTCTAACGTTTTGAAATTGAAACAGCCTTGAGGATCAAAGATAGTGTAAAAAGCAAGCAAGAAACAGGGGAGATGTACTTTCTAAGTGCAAATGACAATTCTAGAAGAAGCATTACTAGAAAGATGGCAAGAAGTTAGAGAACAAAGGAAGCCTGCGTGGCTGGCGTATGGAGAGACGTGAAGGGATCGAGGAGGAGAGAACAGACTGGCTATTGGCCTTAACCTACCTCATTGTACTTGATTGGCAAGACTCTTAGAGTACGTGTATTTACTACATTCTTACAAATGAGAGGTTTGGTGAGGTTAAGTAATTTGCCCAAGTCACCCTGACGAGTGTTAGTTTGAGGCTCTTGAAGTTGGAGTGCTCCATGTTGAATGGGGGGCGGGGGCAGGAGAGGGAGTTAGACAGTGGTATATAGTATCTCACCGCAGAGCCAAGGGTGCTGGCTCTGTGTGGAAATGTCAGCACAATCTAGAACCAGACCTGCTTTGTTCTGTCTGTCCTCACCCAGCCTACATCCCTTCTAGACGTGGGGGAATGGGGCAAGCATTCAGCTTGGGGTTGCCCAGGAGACCTGTGAAGAGAAACAGGCAGATGCCAACAAGCAGGGTATCTGTGTACCCCCAAGAACTCCAGAGAGGAGGCGTTGGGCTGGAGCCAAGGCTGGGGGCAGGGTAGGGACCAGGGATGGGATGGGGGCCAGCCCTGGGATGACACTGGAGCAAGGACAGGGACTAGCTCATCTGAGACGAGAGCTCATTGCTGACAGACATACCTTAGCTCTCAGCCCATACCTTCTCTCCGGAGATACATCAGACTCCCCTTGGCTCTTCTTAGCCACCACTTCTGTTTCTGATCACAGACAGTGATCTAAGGATACAACACTAGCTCTGGAATCAGACACATGTGGATTCACTCTGCCCCTTATTAGCTCCTTTGGCCTTGGGCGAGTCACTCAACCTTTCTGAGCCCCTATTTCTTCCCCGGTAAAATTAGGGCCATACATGTCTATCTTGTAGGGCTGGTTGTGAGAATTAACTGAAAGAACATATGTAAAGTACTTAGCAGAGAGTCCAGCTCACAGTAAAGTAGTCGGTAAATGGAAGCTGGTAGGATTATGGCCACCATCACCATCGACATCTTCATCGCTGGGGGAGGGCTCTGAGAGCTCTGACGTTGACACTCTTCTCGCCAGGGACAGATCTGCCCAGCCCTCTATCTGCGTGGTTTGAAGCAGAATTTTTCTCCCACGTCCTCCACTGGACTCCCATCCCAAAACCGTCAAACAGCACCTACTATGAAGTAGAGCTTCTGAGGTATGGAAAGGGGAGGACGGAGAAAGGAGGGAGGTGGGTGCAGGAGGGGGCACACGCATCCCCTTCACTTCCCTGGCACAGGAAGACATAGCTGTCTTGTTATTGAAGTAACACCAGGAAGGATGCTGGTATATATCAATTGGTTGACAAGTACTGATTGATCCCCATATGTGTTGAGCAGTGTAAAGGGAACTCTGGGATGAGAAAGCCAAGGTATTTCCTTTTCCCTCAAGTTTTTTCCATCTTATTGGAGAAACAAGAAAGGCATCCATAATATAATTGGAAAACAAGGAAACCCTAACGGACTGCAAATGTAATTGGGAGAAAGCCTGAGAAATCAGGTTGTATTGTGGTGGGTAGCAAGCCTTCCTGGAGGAGTTGGAAATCTGTTAGATATTCCAGTGTAAGAGAAATTGGTATGCAGTCCCAGAACCAAGAGAGATCCTCTTGCAGTTAGATGCCCGGGACCAGAGAAAATACGCTGCAGGCTGTACCTCATGGGAGCTCTCTCCCTGGGCCCCTTGCTTTCCTCTTAAAGGAGGTAGGTTTGAACGCAAGTTCTTCTACCAGTGCCTTACCTGATATCTCCCCAGGTATGGGCTAGAACCCTGGAAGTCCATCCCCAGCTGCAGCCAGACCCAGGTGTCGTTCTGTGATCTCACTATGGTGACCCTGGACCTGTACCACAACAATGGCTACCGAGCCAAGGTCCGCACGGTGGATGGAAACCAGTACTCCAACTGGACCTTCACCAACACCCGCTTCTCCGTGGATGAAGGTGCTTTTCCTCCCCTGGGCCTAGAAGATGGCTTTGGGGGTTCCTTCCTGCCAGAAACTCTAGTCTAGAATGTGACTCTGTTCCCATAGCTCACCATTCAGCCTGGCTTCCCGGGTAAGGACCTAGTTGCCCAAACAACTAATCAGGACTTTTGGGAAGATTTAGATGAAAATAGCCAAGTTGTTCAAGATTTAAAAGGGAACTGGAGTTGTTTATCCTACAAAAGAGAAGTCTTGGGGTGGTTTGGAGCAGCTGAGTCACAAGGGCCAGACCTGTGTACTTGTAGGGTTCTGGAAGAGGAAGTAAATCCAAAAGCACTCAGCACAGGGCAAGAAACAGTAGGCAGAATTGGATCCAGTCCTCAGTCCTTAGGGCCCAACTCCCAGTGATCAGGGTGTAAGGCTTTGAAGCAGGGAGATGCTACTGAAGAAGGGTTGGGGGTCTCTCTCAGCAGACATAAGAGAAAAGGGTAAGCCCCAGACTTGATGGGATTTTGCCATTCTATGAATTGGAATTGACCATGCTCTCTCTATATGAGTGTGGTGAGCCTGCTCTGCAAAATTCAGAGTCAGAACGAATGGTCTTCAAGATATTTGGCTCCCAAATGCCTACCTGCAGGCCAGTGCTTAGCTGGCTACAGAAACATTACCTGAGGAATGTGTTTAAAAACCAATGTGTCCAGGGCCCGGCTTCAAAAATTCAAGTTCACTGTGTCTTGAGTGGACCCGGGGCATCTGTATTTGTAAGGTACTTCCCAGGAAGTCTTTATGTGCTGCCAGGTTGAGAAAGCAGTGGCCCAGGTTTTAGGGTGGGTAAAGCTTGACCCTAGAGGCCAGGCATGGGCAGGGCACCCAGGCCCTCCCCAGCCTGCAGGCCTCATCATTTTGCCTCCCCACCAGTGACTCTCACGATTGGCAGCGTGAAGCTAGAGGTGCACAATGGCATCATCCTCGGGAAGATCCAGCCCCCTAGGCCCAAGATAGCCCCTGCGGGCGACACTTACGAAAGCGTCTTCCAACACTTCCGCGAGTATGAGATTCAGATTCGCAAGGTGCCGGGGAACTACACGGTATGGGCCTCCCCAGGGCCACAGGACATCTGTATTTGTAACGCAGTGGGCTCCCTGGGCCTCCCTGTCAGCGGGGCTGGCAGTTCCTTCTGTGCACCCCTGGGGAACTTTGCTGGCAGAGTAAAGAGGGGGGGCGTGGGGCAGGGGAGGGAGCTGAGATGACCTCAGCCCTCAAATCTATGCTCCTGCCACTCTGAGAAACACACTGAGGGTTCTAGAGGGGAGGGGGGTGGGGGGTGGGGGGATGGGTGAGCCTGGTGACGGGTATCAAAGAGGGCACGTTCTGCATGGAGCACCGGGTGTTATGCACAAACAATGAATCATGGAACACGACATCAAAAGCTAATGATGTAATGTATGGTGATTAACATAACAGTAAAAAATTAAAAAAAAAATCTATGCTCCTGCCAGGTGGCAGGGAAGACATGGTCCACTAGTGTCAGGCACCACGCAAGACATTTAATAGCTATTATTCCTGATCCCCTGGCAGGTGGATATTTTATTCCATTTTATAAATGGGAAAATGTGGCTCCAAGAGGCTATGTAATTGCCCACGGACACCCCAAGTGGGAGATCTGGAATCTGCCAGATCCATCCTCTTCCCACCATTTGATGCCAGCCCCTTCTAGGAAGGCCCACAGTGTCTATAAAATGTTCCTTTTCTCTTTTTGTACAAAATAAGTCATGTTAATCACAGAGATCTTGGGCTGCGTTGAGAATACTGGGTTTGTCATGTCAGGGAAAGGACACTGAAGGGGGTGGCCTGGAGCATCTCTGGTGGCTCGCCCACTCTCAGCTTCCATGGTCCATGAATCAAGGGTATATTTTGTTTATTGCTGTTTTTGTTTCAGTTCACAAAGGAGAAGGTGAAGCATGAAGACTTCAGCCTCTCAGCCCCTGGAGATCTGGGAGAGTTCTGTGTGAAGGTGAAGCCATCTCTGGGCTCCCGACTGAACAAGGGGGTATGGTCCAAGGAGGAGTGCGTCGTGCTCACCCGGCAGTGTGAGTCTGCGGTTGGGGCTGCTGGCGGGGGGGGGGGGGGCAGGAGGCAGGAAGGGCCTCACACCATCCAAAAAGCATCAGTTGAGGACCACTGATGCCAGGGCCACTCCCCCATAGGGCCCTATGAGAAAGCTCCTATTGTCCCCATGTTAGAGATGCGGGACCTGAGGCTCTGTGGGTCTGAAGAGCTTTCTAGGGCATGGTGGCAGAGCAGGTCTCTTGATTCTGCTGGTGCTGGTGTTCTGCTTGAGCACAGCTGTGCTCCCCAAGAACCGCTACCCCACCCCTCCCTGCCCCAGGCCCACTCTGTCAGCTGTGGTAGTTCCCGGTTGCTACCTCCCTCTGTCTTTTCTTGAGGCTGGGCACAGAGCGCCTTCTCCTTGTCTTCCCTCCCCATTGGGACTGAGCTGACCCCTGCCAGAGCTGCTAAAGCCAGGCTCTCCGCCGGTGCTGGGGAGAGGGGGGGAGAGGAGGGAGGGGAGAGGCCCTGGGGTGTGAAGGCCATGGTCTTGTCCATGAGGATCTGACAGTCTGGCTGGGGAGACAGGGCATGCCCCGAGGAAGCTGTAAACAGCAGTTCAGGGCAGCATATGCCCCAGCCAGTCATGCCAGGCCAGCAAGGCCCAGCAAAGACAAGAGTGACTCCCTTTATTTCTACGTTTCCGTTCATGAAGGACACTCACAAGTTCACTGTCATTTAGCCTTACTCTCATTTAAGTAGAGTTAAGGCACCATCCCTGTGTCAGGCAGCCTTAAGAGCTTTTTTAGCATTCACTCACTGGTAGAAGAACTAAGTTTTGTGGACAGGTCTGGCTTCAGATCTCAGCTTTACCACTTACGAGGTATATGATCTTGGGTAAGTTACGTAAACTCTCTAGGCCCCAGGATCCTGTTCTGTATAGGGATGATCATAGTACTCACGTCCTAAGGTTGTTGTAAGGATCAGGTAACATAAGTTAAGGGAGGTGGTGGATGATCAGTGCTGTGTACTTCACAATCATGTGGTAGGCACTATTATTTTTCCCATTTTATAGATGGAGAAACTGAGGCTCAGAGCGGCTGAGTCAGTGGTGGAGCTGGGACTGGCGCCAGGCCTCCATTCTTACCTGCTGTCCCATCCTGCCCCCCGTTCCACGTGCTGTGGTGTGAGTTGTGTGCAGAGCTAGAGGCAGAGTTGGTGGGTCTAGTGAGAGAATCCCTTCAGGACAGAGGTTGGAAGGCCAGGCAGGGATTTCCAAGGATCCAGAAGCACGTGGTTGTGGCCTAGAGGGGGTCACCGGGGGCCACTGACTGAGTGGCTCCTGAGAGTGGCCGTGGATTCCCGGGATCCAGGTCACAGACACATCTCTCTGGGCCTGCAGATTTCACCACAACCAACCTCAGCATCTTCTTCACCTTCGTCCTGCTTCTGTGCGGAGCCCTGGCCTACTGCCTGGCCCTCCATCTGTACGTGCGGCGCCGGAGGAAGCTGCCCACCGTCCTGGTGAGTCTCAGGGGGAGGCCACTGGCCCATCCTTCCTCACCATAGCAGGACTCCAGGAGACGGGGGCTCCCTCCCAGACTGTCCCTTCCCTCAGCCCTGACATTATCAGGAGGCCCCTTCATCAAGGATCGTGGGGACAGAGGGAGGGCTTAAATGCAAAGCCCAGTGCTGAGAACATTGCCTTCTCAGGGCCCCCGATAAGACACATACTGAGTAGTCCCAACCCCCCACGTGCCATTTTGTTACACTTTACTAACAATTGGCCATGGGCCAGCCCCTGTGCATCAGTACCTCTGAAGTAGGTGGGGTTATTATCCTCATTTTACAAGGGAAGAAACTGAGGCAGAGAGCGATTTTTTTTTTTTTTCCCCATGCACGGGGGCCAGGGAGCCAGGAGAAGTCAGGAAGAGCCCAGTCTTTCCCACCCCTGCCAGCTGGTGATGATGAGTGCTCCAGAAGAGGAAGAACACGGGGCTGGAAGCCCAGGCCTAGGGCTACTGCCAGAGTGGCAGGGAGCAGAATGAGGGGTGCTGCCCGGGAGGAGGGGTTGTGGAGGTGGCCAGGGTCTCTGCCCCCCTCCCAGGGCATTTCCTCTTGCCACACAGTGCGGGCAACTGCTGCACTTGTACTAAGCCAGCCTCCAGAATGCAGCTCGCAGCACTGAGCAGCATGTCCAAACCTCTGCCTGGCCCACCTAGGATTCAGGCTGCTCCAGAGGTTGCCGCCACACCCCCACAGCAGCCATCACTGTGAGGGCCACGGGCTCTGCTGGGAAGGACCGGCTCCACTGGGGAGGACCTTCAGTTGGGAGGGCTACCCCCCCAAGAGGGATCCCAGGATTTCTAGGAAAATAAGGAGAGAGACACCCTCTGGAATTATGTTGAGTAAGAACTCTAGGGAGTGGGGATGTGGGGAGAGAAGGGACCGCCTGGCCTAATTAGGGTCTTTGTCTGGCAGCAAAGGACTATGTTCCTAGCTCCAGTGCCCTGATTAGAGTGGTATGATGAAGAGCCTTACAGGATTAAAAAGTTCTTCCTGTGTCTAACTGAAGTGTGTAACGCATTGTCCCTTCTCTGTGCTCTGGGGAGATTCCGTCCCACAAACATGTATGCATCGGCCTGTTTAACAAGTGCTCTGAGCATGTTCTATATGCAGGGCCTGGAACCAGGATGGGGCCTGCCCTCAGGGACGGATGACGACAAAGCAAAGGGGTGGGGGAGGCTGGTCCTGGTAACTGTAGCGGGGATTCCTCGGTGGGCGTCAGAGCATCTAGGAAGAGATCAGTGAAGTGGCCGTTGAGCTACAGTTATTGAGCACCAATGACAGGCCACATGTGGTCCGGGAAGAAGCTGATTCATGCGGCCCTTGGTCCCAAGGGGCTTGATTACAGCCCGGTAGGGCAGCCAGCGTAGAATCTATTACTTCTAGTGCAAGCCAGGGAAATAGGCACAGGTGCAAAATGCCAAAGGAGACAACACAGCCTCTGGGTTTTCATTCCTCTGTGCCATTTGGATCACAGAAGTGAGCTCTCCTTGAGAATGTTTTCCTTCTCAAGATAAATGCAGCCCAGTTGCCTTCACCTAATGATGGTGGTCATTACTAACTTCATGAATAACTTCGAGTGCACAGAGCACTTTCACATTCATATGCTTATTCCCACTCATGCGCTGTTCTGATCTGCTCTTTGGACAAATGGGGATTTCAGATCAGGACAGTGGAGTACAAATCGCAGGTTTGTTCTTTGCCGCTGTGACTTTGTGCAAGTCATTTCACTTCTCTGAAGTTCGATTCTCTCCTTAGATTGGAGAGTAAAACTCAATTTGCCCAATATTTACCGAGTGCTTTCTTTGTACCAGGCACTGTTCTAAGCACTTGCCATGCATTAACTACAACATGAGGAGGCTGGTACTGTCACTATTTCTGTTTTATAGGCGAGGAACTAAAGCACAAAGAGGGCAAATAATTCAGCCAAGGCGACACGGCTGATACAAGGCAGAGCTGGGATTTGAACCATGCAGTCTGGCTCTAGAAACAGATTATCCTTAATCACCAACCTGTGTGATATTCATAGGAACTCAACTAATTTAGAGTTGCATTCAAGTCCAAACTTACAAAGGGAATGAGGGGAGGTGTGCTCAGTGAGTCAGGGCAGGTGTGCTCAGTGAGTCAGTAAGTCGGTCAACAAACTTTAAGAGAGCCTCCTATGTGCCAGCTCAGTTGGAACAGAGTGGCAGACAAAAAACTAGACAGCTCCTGTCCTCAAGAAGCTTATATTCTGCTGGGTGTGGGGAGTAAGTGTGGCTAGAGAGCAGGTTGTGGTGGGAGGCAGAAAATAAATTTAAAAATTTCAGGAACCAAGTGCCAGGAAGAAGTAAAGGAGGTGAATGTAGAGTGTCGCAGCACTGCCTTAGCCAGGATGATCGGGAAGGCCTCTCTGGAGAGAAACATCTGAGCTGAGACCCGAATGTTAAAACGACACAGCCAGAGAAGGCGCTGAGAGAAGGGTTCCTAACCACAGGGCATAGCATGTGCAAAGGCCCTGAGAGCACTGAGCTGATGCATGAGCAGGAAGAACCCCAGTGTGGCTGAGACGGAACAGCTAGTGGGAGAGGGATTAAGTGACTTTCCCTGGGACTCCAGGCAGGTTGTGGGGAGCAGCTCCTCCCCTGCTGCTAGTTCTGTGCTCGTTCCATTGCCCCACGTGGCAGCCACCCTGTATTTGCGCAAGTCACTTAATTTGGTGAACTTTGGAGAAGTTAATTTGGTGTCTCACATCCAGCATTTTAAAAAATGAAATGGACAAGCGAGGATAATGGAGGGGACAGGATGGGACAGGGTAGGACAGACTAGAACAGGAGAGAGGAGGAGTGTAGATCACGGGACCCAGCTAGTAAAAAGTATTCTCTCGTGAAACTGCTTTCAGTTTATGGGGTATCCATATACAGGCAATCATGGAACACATTTCTTATTTGGGATCATAGTCTAAAGAAGTTTGAAACACACTTCTAGATCTATCTAGATGAGTCCAGCTTGCTCTCAGGTTTGGAAAGGACTGTGCTGGGGCTGAGAACATATACCGTTCCTGGCCAGCTCCCGTTCTGCCTGCCGTTCCATCTGGGCTGCGAGCGTGCAGGCCTGAGCCAAACTCAGAATCGCACTAAGAGGAAAGGTCGATTCTGAAATGAAACAAAAAGGGCAAGTGGCTCTGTGGGCTCCTCGGTTAGAGCAGAACCTTCTCGAGCCCGCTTCCTGGCCCCAGGGCCAAACCTGCAACGCTGGAGAGGGTTCCTGCAGGTAACCCTCGCTTCTCTCACTCTGCCCTCTTCTCTCCAGGTCTTCGAGAAGCCCCAGGCCTCCAGCTTTGTCAGCCAGCTTCCCTGTCCCGAGCCCCAGGACGCCATCCATCCCCTGGACGAGGAGGCCTTCCCCCAAGTGTCCCCAGAGCTGAAGAACTCGGAACTGCACGGCAGCACAGACAGTGGCTTTGGCAGTGCCAAGCCATCCCTGCAAAATGAAGAGCTCCAGTTCCTCCTCCCTGCCCCCCACCCCCAGGCTGGGGGCACCGCGGGCAAGGGGGCGCCCCTGGAGCTGGAGGGCAGCAGCGGCAGCAGCAGCAGCACGGACAGCGGGATCTGCCTGCAGGAGCCCGGCCTGAGTCCCAGCACTGGCCCCAGCTGGGAGCGGCAGGTGGGGGACACCAGCCCCGGCCAGGATGACAGTGGCATCGGCCTAGTCCAAAACTCTGAGGGGCAGCCTGGGGACGGGCAGGGTGGCTCCGCCTTGGGCCCTGTCAATGCCCCCGGGCCTGAGGAGCCTGGGGAAGAAGACCCAGCCTCAGTGGCATTCCGGGGCTACCTGAAGCAGACCAGATGCACAGAGGAGAAAGCAGCCAAGACAGGCTGCCTGGAGGAAGAGCCCTCCTTGACAGATAGCCTTGGCCCCAGGTTCAGGATGTGCCTGGATGCCGAGGCAGGCTGGCCTCTACCAGTGCTGGCCAAGGGCTATTTGAAACAGGACCCAGGAATGACTATCACTCCCTCGGGGACCTCAGCTGTACAGTGGGACCAGCCAACGGAGGAATGGTCTCTCCTGGGCTTGACCAGCTGTGCTGACCTAGGAGCATCTGACTGGAGCTTGGCCCATGATCTTGCCCCTATGGACCGTGTGGCAGCCCCAGGTGGTCTCCTGGGCAGTTTTGACTCAAACCTGGTCACCCTGCCACTGATCTCCAGCCTCCACTCCAATGAGTGACTCAGGCTAAGGGGCTGCTTTTGATTTCAGCCACGAGGGCCCCCCGGGATCAGAAGTGACGCATGAGGCCAGTGTGAGCCCTCATTGGCAAGCCCAGTGGGGCCAGCCCTTGCCAGGCCCAGCAGGGCTGGCTAAGGGGCCCAGGGCAGAGAGAGACTGTCCTGCTAAACTACTGCAGGCTGTATGGGTGGCGTCGGCCTGGGCTGCAGGAGGGCTCCAAAGACTCGGCAGAGCCAGGAAGGGCCGGGCGGAGATCTCCCTCCTCCGGGCTCTTCCTGTGCTGTAACAGATTATTTGCTCAGGGGAATCACTGGTTTTCTGGAATTGTGGGGAGGCCCAAGCTGCAGTCAGTAAGGACCCAGCCCTCCCCCCTAGACCAGCCAAGTGCCAGGGCCTCCAGCCGGATGGAGAACTGGCGGGGGGGGGGGGGACGCGGATTTCCCTGAAGGGGTCATTTCTGGGAGGACAAAGGAGGGAGCAGAGGCCAAGTTTGATCTCTGGGATGGTCAGAGCTGGTCAGCCTGGGATGGTCATAGGAAGAAGCTTCCCGGCTGGCAGTCCTCCCAGGCAGGGAGCTTGTCACGGAAGATCTTAAGATGTATCTGTCCCTGTCAGTCAGTCTGCCACCATCAGTCAGATGCCACGGCTCTATAGAGCCACCAGGGGATGACGCCCCTGTGGCCGAGCCACTCACTACCTCCATCCTGTTGCCCCCACCATCTTGCTGACGCTACCAGAGGAGCCACGGTTCTTTGTATTGGGCAAAACTCAACACTTCAGGTGGTCTCTGGGCTCAGGCACCAGCTCACCCTCCCCAGAGGGTCAGGGTTGGGACCTACACTAGTGTTTACTGCTAGTATCCAGCTACAGACCCACAGGACACGGCACTGGCTCCAACCCATGCTCTCTCAGTGTCCAGCTATGAGAGCTTGGGCCAAGCCAATTCTCAGAGACCCTGTTATCCTCTGATAGCATATGTGGAATAGTGACTCAGTCTCCAGTGGGCCTTCCATGCTGGATGGTAACCAAGCTGGCATCAGGGGTGACGTCCCCAGCCTGGTGTGACCCTAGGCTGGGAGGAAGTTGTCTGCAGAACCTATATCTGCACAGAGCCAGCTTCTTTTGCATGCTGGGAATTAACAGATTTAGCAGAAGTCTGTGGTATCATGCTAAGAGGACTACCCGATCCTGGGCCCAGAAGGGGACAGGTATGGGCCCTGCCTCCCCATAGTCCGTTTGGATTCTATCTCCAAAGCAAGTTTACAGTCCATGGGCAAGGAAGCTGGGGGGAATGACAGGCCTGGGGTCTGCCCGCCCCGCCCCCTTCCGGGTCACCACTCAGCCCTGCATTTTTCTGTGGCATTCTGAGAAGAGACACTCCAGCTCAGGAAATCCACCCAGAACAACCCCTGACTCCCCCACCACATCCTACCCAGAAGCTCTGATGTGCCAGTCTGATAACTGAACTCCCTCTTGAAACTTGGGTTTGCGGGAAGATTACTCAGGGTTCCCTTGGAAGTTTATTTATTTTGTTCACTTATTTATTGAAGAAGCAGCATGGTACAGTGCAAGGATTCTGAGTATTTCAAGAACCTGGAGGTTCTATTCTGACTCCATTGTTTCTTGCATCTCCTCATCTGTAAACTGAAGGGTCTCGGTTTCTTCGTCTGTAAATCTAGAAAGCCACGCCTGACATGTTCAATGGACAGGGGTGTGAGGCTCCACCAAGGCGGAGGATCTGAATGTACCTTGCACGCAAGGCTCTGTAAATCAGAGACGCATGTTTTTTTATTTCAATAAATTGTCAGGACCTCAGGAATCATGTGAAACCAGTCAAATTTCTGATCAGAAACGGTGACTGGTGGAAGCGTCAAGTTGTTGATAATTGAGGTTGATAACAAGTAAGATGTGTGATGTCGCTTTAGCAGGAACGAAGACTCGGGCTCAAGTCAGACACAGGAGTCCTCACGCTAACATGAAGTATGTAATGGGTATGGATAACAGTGTTTTGAATGTGGCGTCCGGACAGCTGGAAAAGAGACCAGACCTCCCTGGAGCTCTGTCACCTGCCCCTCTCGACATGGAGGTGCGTCCCAGGGGTGCTTCTCATAAGGGCGGAAGTCATCTGCATTTGATTCTGAGAGCAGCCTGCTCTTTCCACGAAAAGCCACACGTGGGCTTGAGTCTCTCCCCAAGCTCAGCCCTGCGGATGGAGCAAACTCAGGGCCCTGGCCAGAGTCTCCAATGCACTTTGCGCTTTGTCCCATTCTGGATCCCCGAGGAGGTGAATGGGGACACCTCATCCCCGTTCCTCTGTGTCATCTCCAACGATGCTTCTCCCCATTTCACTCTGAGGAAATAACCAGTTCTGGGAAGCACCGATCCTATCACCTTCAGAGAACTTGACTAATATCACACCATTTGGAACCGATCAAACTGATTTGCCCTGGAAGCCTCCTGTCCTATTGGTTAAGAGGTGTGGGGTCTCCTGGAAATGAGTGTCGGAGGTGGCCTCTACCCCCAGGAAAAGGCCCTCGAGGCACGTTGGATGGACAGCAGCAGAGAGGTGAATACGAAGATGGAAAGAATAAGAGGAATCAGCAGCTGGGGCCAGCAAGAAAGCAAACACAGAGCAGCTGGGAGAACGGAGTCCGAGGATGTGGGCTCTGCTGCAGGCCTCGCCTGCTTCCCTCAGGAAGCATGAACAGGAGTTTGTGCTGGGTCTCCTGCCCGGCCCAGTCAGGGCTTGTGGGGGAAACAGAGTCCTTCCTGCAGGTGGTGCTGAGACGCTCACCGCTCACCGGCTTCTTGGGAATTGGATTCAAGTGCCCCACAGAAGGCCGTTTGTTCTTAAACTGAGTAATCTCCCTCGAGGGCTTTTCCAAGCTGAGGAATGTGTGATTCTGGGTTTCTATGAGCTAACGGAACTTCCTCTTAGTAAGGGGAGAGGGGAAATGGACCAACGTTGACTGAAGAGGAAATTTCTATTGAACTGTGTTTTCCCAGCTTTCTAAATAGCTGTATCAAAGAGTCTGCCTTGTCTTCCCTGAAGATCTCTACCCCCTGCAAGGCACACAACACACTATCCCAGAATACACACGGTCACGGAGGGGGCTCACTGCCCTGCTGAGTAGGAGCTCTCGGAGCCCCCCGTGGGGACGGTGGAGACAGGGGCGCCGCAGACCATGTCCGCCGGGGACAGCATGCTGGTGGTCATGAGAGGCAGGTTCAGGCGGCGAGGGCTGACTTTATGTAGCCCCAACCTAGAGGATACCAGGTAGTGGGAGGCATGACTCATCCATTTCCTGTAGTGCTCACGGGTTTCAGGGTTACTTTTAAAGCACATCCACAATTTGAAATTAAATGCATCTTTATTAATGATTCACAGCACCTTTCCTATCAGCTTGATCTTAAGTTCACCTAGCTCCCGTAAACATTCGACTGGGCCGGGGAGGGGGGTGGGTTTGGACCCAATAAACACTCTGACAAGGAAAGGTTGGGTCATTGGATTTAGTGTTTTACAAAGATAACCCTGGCCAAAGCATAAGGCGTGAGTCAGAAGGGACGAGGCAGGATGTAGGGAGACCTGGTTGGAGGTGCATGTAGTCAGCATTTCTTCATTTCTTCAAGAAACATTTTTAAGTGCCCACGCCTGGGTCCAGAGGGAACAAAAGAGGTGCAGCTCCATGGAGGGGGCTATCTGGCTATGAAGCTAACAGACTAGCAGATACATCTTACAATCAGCGGTGAGTGCCATGGAAGGAACTAAGATGGGAAAACAAGGAACGGAGACAAGACGCAGAGAAACTGTGAAGAGAAAGCTGTCTTAGTCTGCCCGGGCTGCCATAACAAAATACCATTGACAAGACACATTTCTCATCGTTCTGGAGGCTGCAAGCCCAAGATCAAGGTGTCAGCCAATTTGGTTCTTGGTGAGGGCTCTCTTTCTGGCTGGCAGAGGCCCCCTTCTCCTTTGTCCTCATGGGAGGAAGAGGGGAGGGGGGAGGGGGAGAAGAGAGGAGGAGGAGTAAAGAGAGAGAGCTCCAGCTAGGCAAGCACCCTGGTCTCTCTTCCCTTTTTTTTTATGATTATTTATTTGAGAGAGACAGCACGCCCTTGAGCAGGGGGAAGGGGGAGAGGGAGAGAGAATCCCTAAACAGGCTCCCCACCAAGCAAGGGGCCCCGATGCAAGGCTCGATCCCAGGACCCCAAGATCATGACCTGAGCTGAGACCAAGAGCTGGCCACCCAACCAACTGAGCCACGCAGGCACCCGTCTTCCTCTTCCTATAGGGACTCTCATCACATGATGGGGACCCTGCCCTCATGACCTCATCTAACCCCTAATAGCCTCCCAAAGGCCCCACCTCCTGATACCATCGCATTAGGAGTCCAGGCTTCAACATACGAATTTGGAAGGGACACAAACATTCAGTCCACAACAGGCTTAATCGGTAATCCGATCCAATGACAATACTGAGCAGGGACAGCGGGAATGGAGAGCAGGTGACAGAATCAAAAGGCATTCTGCAGAGAGCTCTGGGAAGACTCCATAGCGGGCTTCAGTGAAAGAGGCACTGATCCCACTCGAACGTGGAGCTGGAGGAAAGTGAAACACGCACATGGAAGGGAGACGTCGTGTTGGTGAGTTCTGGCTCCCTACGACAAGTCACCTAAGGAAAAAGTCCTCTGGCAATTGGTGAGGCAGGCCTGGCAACAGGGGAGGGCTCAGAGCTGGGGGGGTTCAGATGTGCTCACGCTGACCCACCAGATGGGAGAGCTCACACCTGCGTGTGGAAATGAGCACACGGATCTGGCGACGGCCACGCCCCCTGCCGCCCACCTGCAGTGACAATTCTCACCTGTTGACCCCCCCCCCCCCCCCGCCTCGAGGAAAAGCAGGCTACCCTCCCTGTAGAGCGACAGGGGCCGTGCCTGTGCTCGGCACCCATCCTGCAGACCCCAGCCAGGAGCCTCATTAGTGCTGCAGCCCATCCCAAAGGTGCAGCTGAGCTGTAGAGCTGGTAAGCTCCGGAGCAGACTGGTACATGATTGGCGAAGGTCTGGGTATAGGGTGCCACACCCATATAGATCTACCAACACAGGGAAGGCGGAGTCGACAGAGGTCAGGGCCTCATGATGGCCTTGGAGAGAAGAGAAACATTCCTGAGGATCCTGCGGCCTGGTCACCGTGACCCTGCCAGTATTCCCTGCCCTCCACTGCCCGACACTCCCACCTACCTGTCCCCAAGGGCAGTTCGCAAAGGACCACCTGCATCAGAGTCATCTGAGGGGTGCTTCTCTTCCTGAGCGTCTCCTCAAGGCCAGGAAGGTATGAATGCTAATTCCCAGGGTCCTGCTTCAGTAAACTGGTTACAGGCGATCAGGTACAAGTGACCCCCATGCACACTGACGTGTGAAGGTCACTCCTTTAGAGAAGAACTTGATGATCTGATGTCTGTTAAACTCTACCCTTCTCCCCCACTGCCCCTAGATGGTCTCACCCAGTCCACGCCTTTAAATGCCACCAGGATGCTGCTGACCGTCCCCTTACTGACCCTCTGCTTCCACACCTGCTGCCATGGTCTAGTAGCATGTGATTCATATAGTATGCTTAGTCCACTATAGCAGCCAGCGTGATCTTTATAAAATACAATTCAGGTCATGTTATTCCCCAGCTGAAAGCCCTCTCCTTTGCTCCTGGTCCAAATGAGAGGCAGAGTCCCATCGACTTAGTATCTGCCCACCCCCCAACACACACCACCTCCTGCACTCTCCCCCTTGCCCACCCTGCTTCAAGCTCATTTCCACCTCAGGTCATTTCTTCAAGTGTCTCCTCAAACACAGCCTCCTGGGGGAGGTCTTTGCTGACCATCCTATTTAAGTATCCTCCCCATCTCCATTCCCTCCCTACCCCTAGCTTTTTTCCATCAGAGCACTTATTATCTGAAGTTATAGGACATATTTGGTTTTTTGCTCTTGCCTCTCTCTCCAAATAAAGTAGAAGATCTATGAATACTCTCTCTCTTTTGCTCACTCCTACAGTCCCACAACCAGGAGCACATAGTAGATGGTTTGTATTTGCTGCATGAATGAGCAAGTAAATAAATGAATAAAGATAAGCTTACAATGTTAGGTGGTAAGTGCGGTCTTAGCCTAGACTGTCCCCCCAGAAGCAAGAACCTGATTCAAGGAGTTGTGGGTAGGTGGCTTATTTGGAAGGTGATCCCAGGGAACAGGAGTGAGAAACCAGGAGAAGAAAAAGCCAAAACAAGGATATGTTATCAAGCTGGTCATGCTGGGAACAACTGGGCCTTGATCCCTGGAGCAGGTAGAGGCCTCTTCCAATGGTCCCCTGAACACTGACAGGAGAAGCCCTGATCCAGCAGCTTCTGAGCTGGCTGAGGCTTCCCCCGGAGGTGTCAGACACTCTCAGACTGCTGGTGCACAGGGCTGCGTGGGCCCCCCCCACCAAGAACACAATGAGCCGGGGTGGTTAGCAAGTGATGTGCAGTGAGCACTGGAGACAAGATCTGTCAGCACAAAGTGGGAGCCCATTCAGAACTGTCTGGAATCAGGGTTGGAGCTGAGAGTGCGAGGTGGGGCACTGAGACACCTGCTGTTGTTCGTGCTGTGAGGGAGATGTTCCCAGGGGCCACAGGGGCATGTGACCCACCTAGGGGGTTCAATGCACATTTTTTTTGGACTGAACTTAAAGGAGTGAAGTGAGATTTATTAAATTATGCTAAGTGAGGTTGGGAGACTCTCCCCAAACTTGAGAGATGATAAGATCTGAGCCTGCCATTCAAACCTGGGGCAACAAGAAGACCCAGGTAGTCTAGCAGGCCTGAGTGGCAGGACGCACTGAAGGCACATCCCCTCAAGTGACAGAGTGTCCACCAGGCGCTCAGACTAATGGACAAGTCCAGAGATAGGCTCCCCCGTCAAGGCTGTTGGTCTGGAGATGCCCCACTGGCAAAGAGGAAGAGGCAACAGACCCACGGAGTGGAAACAGCACTGGGGTGGCCCGGAACTTGGGAGAGGCGGGTTCTCAGCTCAGTCATGTCCTATCAACTCTGGGCCTCAGTCTTCCCAGCCAAATGCAGAAAGTACTCTTCAGTCTGATTGTCTCTTGAACGCCCTGGAGATCCTGTGGTCGCTGAATGTGTGCTTATTCCACTGTGAGCTCTAGAGAGGGGAAAATTCCCTGACTCACTTCCGTATCCCTGTATCCTTCACACCCAACCGATGCCTAACAGTAGAGGTGCTCGGTAAACGCAATGGAGAACGAATGCATGAACGAATGGATTTTCTCACAAGGAAAAGCATATGAAAGGGGCTGAAGAAGAAGGTTATCCAAACATGACCATGGCAAGGCTTGGCAATGGTAGCTTGAAGCTGGGTGGTTCCTTGGGAGACATTAGACTGAGCTCAAAAGAAAGCAGGCTGACCATAAATTTGACTTAAATTTTATCTTCAGGCCTGCCATCTTAGCTTAGTTGTATTATACCACGATTATTTCTTTCCCTGTGATATTTACCCTATAGCTCTTAGGTACTGTAGGGACTCGGGGCTATAGACCAAACAGGAAGCCTAGAGCAAGGGGATGTGGTCAGGAAGCAAGGCAAAGGACCGTGAAAATATTCAGCAGTCATTCACTCCTTTAGCAGACATTCATTGAGCATCTGCCATGGGCAGGCCCTCTGGGAATACAGCAGGCAATAACAGATCCTTCTCCGTGGGTTACAAGCCTGCAGCATGCGCGCGCACGCACACAGGCACAGGTGTCTCCGCTACCTCCTCCACCACGCCCCTCCCCCAGCCTTGTGGGAACTGAAGTCACCCACGCTCTGCATCAGCCTCACAGCTGGAAGGGAACTCGGTGTCCTCAAGTCCAATGGCAGCCTTACCCAACAAGGCACCTGGGCCCCACCAGCTACTGGGGCTACCACGGAACGTGGGGCTCCAAACATTTTTCCACCCATCTCCTTCCTAATGGCTCCCTGCTTATATATGAAAAACCTTATCCTAAGGTGTTGGGGGAGGGGAAGACAACCCCCATGGCTCTGTAGGTAAAAATCCAGGCAACAGGGACCCCACCAAGGCCGTGGCCTCCAGCGCCGCCCCATCTGTTGTTTTGTTGGCCTGTTGCTACTCTGGGCAGACAGAACATTTTCACTTCTGGTCCCCAAATGTGAGAATTCACCAGGCCACTGGCTTCCTGTTTTGTACCAGATCTGCTTAAATCTGCTTCTAGACAGCTTTTGATCACTAAGCAGTTTTTTAAACACAGTAATGATATGCCTATGTGCTCCCACTTTGAGGTTCTTGGACCCCTGGGGCAGAGAGAGGGCACCACAGACGCGCTGGCCCCTGCACGGTCACCAGCATGAGGCAAGATCACTACATGGGAGCACAGCCCCCCACTCACCGCCCAGCCTCCTCCCGGGTCTGACCGTTCCTTAAGGCAGACTTTAAACAGAAAGTCACTGTCTCTGTGTGCTTGCTCTGTGTCCAGATCTGTATCTGATGATGGCCACAGGGTCGCACACGATTGAGGACGGGCAGAGAAAATCAAAAGCCTCGGTTTTCAGAGCAACCAAGACTGGGCCAGGGATAAAGCAAAGCCCAAGTTCCCTGAAGAGACTGAGAAATAGTCAACATAATTTCCTGAGACTCCTGGCTATGGCCAGAGCCATATACACTACCGCAGAGAACTGGGAAAAGGCAGAAGACCTGAATTTTGCCTGAAGAAAGTACCCATCAAACAGGAGGGAGCATGGTTAATCTCAAGAGAGACTGGATGCCCCCACAGTGCCTAGCAGTTCCTGGCATATTACAGAAGCTGCATGAATGAATGATTGAATGGATACAAGGGAATAATCAATAATTCAGCTATGGGAGCCAGAGAGTATTTGTAATTAAAAGTGAGAAGACAACAGGGCAACTGAGTGGTTCAGTCAGGCGTCTGCCTTCGGCTTGGGTCATGATCCCAGGGTCCTGGGATCGAGCCCCACATTGGGGGGGGGTCCTTGCTCAGTGGGGATCCTGCTTCTCCCTCTCTCTCTGCCCCGCCCCTCCCCCTGCTTGTGCTCTCCTCTCTCCCTCTCTCAAATAAACCAATAAAATCTTAAAAGTGAGAAGACAACAAGATCATCAGTCTTTTTTTTCTTTTCAAGATTTTATTTATTTATTTGACAGAGAAAGAGACAGTGAGAGAGGGAACACAAGCAGGGGGAGTGGGAAAGGGAGAAGCAGGCTTCCCGCCGAGCAGGGAGCCCGATGCAGGGCTCGGGAAAGGGAGAAGCAGGCTTCCCGCCGAGCAGGGAGCCCGATGCAGGGCTCGATCCCAGGACCCTGAGATCATGACCTGAGCCGAAGGCAGCTGCTTAACCAACTGAGCCATCCAGGCGCCCAAGATCCATCAGTCTTAAGGAAGTCTCCCTGGGGAAGTGAAAATTGAGCTGGTATAAAGAAGAGGCAGAATTTGACAATTTGGAGGCCAAAGGAGGTATAAAAAAAAAATAAAAGAATATGAAATGGACCAGCAAGAAGCTCAGAGCTGAGGATAGAGCTGTTCTCACCAGACCAGGGGACACGGAAAAGAGATTAGAGGTCAGCGGGAGGGGCCTGCTTCCTTGGGGGCCAGGGAGCTCAGGGAAGCTGTGAACTTGGACAGAGGCTATAAGTGGCTGACAAACCATTACAAAGAAAATACATTCTTGCCTGGCCTTCAGCAAATCATTTCACTGGACCCTTCTGTTCCTTCACTGTGAGGATGAAGAGAGACTGCATACGGAGCCCCTGCCCCGCACTCTAATACGTGCTCAGCAAACATCGGTTTGCTGGTAAAGAAGGGTTTGGTTGGGAATGGTCCGGTCTTAGATGCTGGTTAGATTTATCTAAAGTCAAAGAAAGGCTGAGGAATATTTCAGATCCTAGACCATCAGAGTTTAAAGGAACTGCAGCGGTCACCTGTCACCTCCTAAGTCAGAAAGTTATCACTATACTTTGTACTTGTATCTTTTGTTTAGTGAACACCTACTATGTTCCAGGTCCTCTGTTAGACACTAAGAATACAGAGATTTAAAAAAAGTACAGGGACGCCTGGGTGGCTCAGTCAGTTAAGCGTCTGCCTTCGGCTCGGGTCATGATCTCAGGGTCCTGGAATCCAGCCCTTTGTTGGGCTCCCTGTTCAGTGGGGCTTCTGCTTCTCCCTCTGCCCCTCACCCTGCTTGTGTTTCTTTCTTTCTCTCTCAAATAAATAAAATCTTAAAAAAAAAAATACAAACAAACAGAGAAGATCCTTTTTCTCCTTCAGGTAAAAGAGAGGAGCCTTGGAGAAGTAGTCCGATCCCTCGGGCTAAAATATATGCCCATGGTGGTGAATGACTAGCCCATGGCCACACAGCATGGCAGGGCAGGTCAAGACCAGACCGTATTCTCCAGCGTTCCACCCTCATCCCACTAAGCCTGTGGTCAGGCTGCATCTGTGAGGCCTCACACTCTACTCAGGCTCCAGTGCAGTCAGTGGCTGTGCAGCCTTAGGCAAAGCATGCTACTTCTCTGAGTCTCCCTCTTGCCAGACACAACATGCAGCCAGTACGATGCCCCACGTCACAAGGTTGCCCCAAGGTTCAAGCCACAGTAACGTGCATGAAAATAATGTGTTCTCTGTAAACTGTGTGTTGTGCAAGCAGTACCTGCTCCTTCTTAGGTCGCCGGGGCTCTTTCTCCAGGACAAGGCAGCCTTCCAGAGCCACAGTGGGTGTTTCTACTGCACTCAGCAAGCGTCTATTGAGTACCTCCTACATGCTCTATGTTTAGCAGTTACCGAGGACCTACGGGACATACCCTGCCCACAGAGGGCTCACAGGGGAGCGGGGGGTGGAGGGGCACAAACGGGAGAATCATGGCCATTTGCCATCAGGTTCAGATGAGTGGCAGCGGGTCTGGAGTCCTGAGGAAAGCACAGGGAAGAGGACATGGGAGCCAACCCCGGAGACTAGCTGTGGCTCGGAGGGGTTGGCGGGGAGGGCAAAGGCATTCTGGGAAGCCCCGGCAAAGACACTAAAGAGGAACAGGGTGGCAGAGGGACCGGGAGTGGCCAGCCGAGAGAAGTGCTGGCTCTCTGGACTGCCCCCTGGCTCTTGGGGCCAGGGGGAAAGAAGAACAGCTAAGAGGGGAGGGAGGTTCCAGGCAAGGCGCTGGCATGGCCGTGGGTGTCAGCGCCCAGCCCAACCAGACCCGCGGCCAGATCTCCAGGCACCTGCTCCCTAATCATTTCTGAACAAGCTGGAAGCTGCCACTTTTGGGCTCTCAACGAAAACCTGTTGCATCCTCGGAGGAGGTCTGGGGTGAAGGGCAACGCTGTGTTAGCCAGCAGGACCAAGTGCGGAAGTCAGGAAAACAAGAAGGAGGCACAGGGGACAGGGAATACGTCAGAGGACCCTAAAAGAGGAAGTAGCCCAGTCTCGGTTCCGCTCCCGAGGACGGGAAATACCCTCCGTTCTCCCAGCCCTCAGCAGCTGTCCCTGTGTCCCTACCTGAAGCCACCCAACCTGAGGTGGGACCACCTGGGCCCTGGGCCCCATCCTTTCAAGTCTGCCCAAGGTCTCGGAGTCCTAAGCACATTCAGGGACCTGGGGCAGCCTCCTATGGACTGCAGCCCCAGGATCCACACTGGGTAGAGCATCGTTGAGAGTTGTGCTGAAGCTAGACACCCCGTGGGTTAAGGAATGGGGCCCAGCCCTCAGCACTGAAATCCAAAGAAGGATGTCAAAGTCAGCCCATCCCCCCTCCTCGCTGCTCTCCCAATAAAGCCTTCAAGAAAGGGAGTGATCCGAACTACAGGGGGCTCTGCCCCACCCTCACCAACTCAGAGATAGAAACACTGGGGCCCAGATGAAGACCTCCAAATTTAGACATTTGGTTTATTAAGTCAGAGCTTGGCTCCGCTGGAAGAATGGCCCCCCAGTTCCTGGCAGGAAGTGAGGGGATAGGGGCTGGTAAGGCTCAGCTCCTCTCCTCTCCTCTCCCTTCCTTCCTTCCTTTGTAATTGGCTAGAACCCAAAGCAAGAAAGAAACTAGGCCCCAGGGAAGCAAGGATAGGAAGACAAATGATATGACTTCTCTCCTCCTTGCCTCTCACTGTCCTGGGCTCCTGAGTCTTACTGGCCTAGTTGCTGGGACACGCAGTTCTAACTGCAGGTTTTCAGCCGTGGCTGGGTCCCCATCAGGCCCTCCTCCATCCACAGCTGCCCGGGAACACAGTCTCGCTGGCTGGCACGACTCTGCATTAAGGGGCTACTAAGACAACATCCGAGTGTGGACGCCACCTCTGGTCCAGCAGGGCAGACCAGAGGAAAGAGCTATGACTCACAAGGCAAATAGTCCTGCTGTCCCCCAACCGACATTTGGTTCATGATGCTACATTTGTGCATTAGCTAGTTTTTTTTTTTTTTTTTAGCCTAGCCTGGGTCCCTCCCCAACTCACACCATTTCTGGTCTGCCCTCCCCACCACAGGGCAAGCCTGGCACAGGAAATGCAGAACACAGGGAGACTGAGCTCTGTGCCCCCAGCCCCTACCCACGCATTGCGGAAGCCTAGAAAATAAGATCCGTGTTTCTAGACTGTTTTAAGCACTGACCTCCAAATGGCCTGGGAGGCACAGAGGCTGATCAGCAGCAGGGAAAACAGAGCCAGGTGGTAAACAGGGGTGTGGGGAGATTGAAGGAACCAGAAAGAAGCACAGAGTGGGGCAGGGCAGAGCTTAGTCTTCAGCTCTTAGGGGAAGTTGGCTTCTGGTAGGAAGGTTAAAAACAGCATCTGGAATCACGTCTGCTCCCACTTGACTTTGCCTATTGAAAATATGACTGGTTTTCCGGCCCCTGGAGTCCGCCCTTTGAGGGGAAGTGTCTGGGGACGCCCCGTGGAGAGCTCCCCTGTGGGTATGCAGGCCTTGCCCACACTGGGCTGAGCTGGGAGGCCTTTGCTCTCCAAGATACCCGGAACCCCTCCACAGGCTCAGGGGCCCCCTGGGAACCAGTCTCTACTCCTGGGCAATGCCTGCCTTTTTGTTTGTAGGAGAAAGCCACTGCTACTCTACCAGACTCTGTCCAGAGCCCAGACCCCTCCTGGGGGTTCTCCCGCTGCAGGCCTGTGGCTCACCCAGTGTGATTCCTCATCGTCCACAACAAGGGACCAGGCCTGGCCTTGAAGACCCCGGAGGGTGAACGAAGCCCAGGGAGTCTGGGAGGGGCAGGTGCTGCACCAGGAGCCTCCTCCTGCAGAAAAAGCAAAGGGAGAACAGCAAAGAAATGAGGCCTGAGAAGGATTCCTCTAAACCACTGCATCTGGCAAGGCTTCTCCCAGGCCAGAGGAGAAGCTCAGAGAGAAACCGGGGGTCCATGAGGGATTGCTGGAGGGAGAAAGTGGATGGGAAAAAGCAACTGCCATGGGGAAGGGGGTAGGCTTGAAGGCAGGGGGAAGGAACGTGTGACCCAAGGGTCAGCCGGCCACAAAGCAGGGATGGCTCCTGGGCCCTCAGTGCAGAAGTGACACTCTAGAGTGATGCTTCTTGGACAGACTGGCCATCTAGAACCTTCAACTCAGAGCAAAGAGTTGAGATAGAAAGCTCGACTCTAGAAGCTGCTACCTGACTAGAAATAGAACGTCCCCAGGAAAGAAAGGCAGGATGTGGATTGGGTGCCCAGATGGAAAGGAACAGCCAGCAGGTGGTGAGGACAGCATGACCCTCAGCCTTGACACCTGAGATCATCTCCCACGGACCCACCCCCCCAGCAGTGAGGGGAAGGGGGGTTTGAACCGAATCATCTCTTGGGTTCCGAACAGTCCTTGGTGCTAGGCTTAGGTGCCTGCACCATCCGAGGACCTTACTAGGACATCAGATTTACTCAGCAGCTCACCAACTTTCCACTCACCTCTCCGGAGCTCCAGAGCCTAACACTCCCCCATCAGACTAGCTTGTCGGAGAACTTCCCATAGCCGCCATCAGAACTGCTGACATGGCCACTGATGGTGAAGGGTGGACCCACCTCCAGCTCCTTCAGGTTCCTGAGAAAGATGATCCAATCATCTGGGTGGCTGAGAACCTGGCCTCTCCTTGGGAGCCCAACTCCCTAGACCAGAGCATGGGAAGAACATCTGGCGATGAGTCCTCAACTGACTCATCTTCCAGAACAGGAGCTGGCCCATGTCTCGGGGCCAGATGAAGAGCGGACCTGCCCCAGGGCAGCGAGTGGACAAGACGGCTTACCGCAGGAGCCCTTCCTGACCCCCACTCTGTAAATCCCTGGCGGTCTCCATTTGCTCCTCTCTTTTGACACCGCATTGTGCCCAAGATTATGTTATTTGTAGTCAGGCCCGTGTCCACCACAGACAGTGAAATGCTTGAAGACAGAGACAGTGCTCATTGTACCTCCTAGAAACTAGCACCACAACACCTGCAACAATAGATCCTTCCTGAATAAATGATGAGTAGATGACGAATGAATGGTTGGTCCCTGCCGGGGGGCAAAGATAAGAGGATCGCCATCAGCAGGGTCTCACATAATCCTGTCCATGTTCAAGTTTTTATTCATGCTAATTTCTAAATAGACCCCAGCTCCTTCCTTTTCTCTTATTTGGTTAGGGGCATGGGGAGGAGACAAGGAAGAGAAACAGCGTGTTTGGGCTCCATACCTAACCACACCCAGATCTGCTCTGAATCTACTCACCGGATCTGGTACAAGTTGAAGACAAAATTAGGCCCTAAAAAGATAATCAGAAAACAGAGGGTTAGTACCTCCAGGGAAGACCTGCCCATCACGCTTCTAGGAACATCTGGTGCTCCCTCACCCCATCTGGGAGGAGCAGGGTGGCTGCGCTGGACCTCAGGATGCTGTCGGAGGGCCCCAAGTTCCTGCACTGTCTGCTGTCTGCCCCACACCCAGGGGTGTACCCCATCTTCCCAGATAGAACCACCAGCTTTTTGGGGGCAACTCCTGCAGCTAGGCATCCCCCCTTTAAGGGTACTGATTACCCTGGGAAAGAGGCAGTCCTAGCTTAGAGCCCAAAAGCAGCAGACCTGGGCTTGAATCCAGACTCTACCACTCTCTAACCCTGTGACCTCAGCCTTCCGGCTTCACCTATAAAAAACAGAAACTAAGAATTCCAACCTTACATGGAATTTTAAAGAAAATCCTATTAGGCAAAAGTCCACTGGCACATAGTAGGTGCTCAGCAAACATTCGTGGAAGCTGTGGAAGCCAAGTGCAGGTCTGAGACATGCTCTCTGCCTCCGGGGATGCCAGCATGCCCGCCCAGCTCCCCGGGGTCCCGTGGGAAGCGCAGATACGGCTCAGGGCTGGGAGATTCCCAGGGAAGCAGAAGCTGAACCCACAGGCAGGGGGAGAGATGCACAAGGAGCCAGAGTGGGGGGCCCCAGTCTAGCCTGGCGCCCCTGGCCTCGAGGCCCACACAGGCCTTGGGGATAGACACTGGTGGGCTCTCAGGGAAGAGAGAGACAGCCTCTGGCTGGGTAGGAGGAGCCCTCACGCCTTCAGTGAAGGCCCAGTACCCCACCCCCACCCAAGTCTTCAACCACTGCAGCTGCCACAGGAAGTATTTTTGCATGATGCCATGCTGAAGAGTGTGCAGCCCCACCCGGCCTTGCCGACCGCTACAGGAGAGGAGGAACAGGCCAGGGCTGGGCTGCCGGGCTTTGGCGCTCACTCACCCTCCCAGCAGTACCCGCGCTGGTACCACTTGGCCAGGCTGTAGCCCAGGACGGACATGAGCAGCAGTGAGAGCCCCACGCCGAGGATCAGGCCCAGGGTGTGGAAGGAGTCCTCACCTGCAGAGACACACGGCCCCCTCCGTCAGCTGCCTGTGGCCCTCTCAGAGCTCTCCACCTTGTTCCAAGTCTCCCCCCTCCCTCCTCACTGCCATCAACATGAGGGCTCCCCTAGGAATCGTGATCTGAGCTAGCTAGTCGAGCCAAGTCACACTAAGAGAGCAGTCTGATACCCGAGTTTTTAGAGTCAGTTTGTTTATCCAAAGTAATAGTTCTTGACCACAGAGATAGTATGGAAATGGGAGGGCCTCCTAAAGCCACAGGCCTTCTACTTATTGGAAAAGGCACTGCAGTTTGGGGGAAGAGCCCAGGAGGTCTCGCCTCAGCCTCACTCGGTGGTCAAGAAGGGCAGCCTGGAGGCCCCAAGAGCAGAGACCAGAAGATCCTCAGTATCCTCCCCACAAAGCCCCTGGACCGCATGGCAAGGTGTTTACTTTCAAACTCTGTTTGCTGCTTATACTTATCGTTTCTTCCTTTTTGTGGTATGAGCTCTTAGCTAAATTTATATTTTATTTGTAAAGCCAAACCAAGGGAGAAAGGGAAAAAGGAGGGACGGTGGGGGGTAGGGGAAGAGCGAAGGAAAGGAGGGAGGAGAGGGGAGGAGGAAGTCGGGAGAGAAGGGGAGAGGGAAGGGGGAGGGAGGAG